CTTTTCTTCTGTGCATTTTTCTCTTCTGTAATTTTTGTGTCTTTAGGACTTTTGGTTTTTCAGTGATTCTTACTTTTCTGCTGTTTTAGATGAAAGGATCGTCTTTAAACCAGTTCTGCCTTTCATCTTTTGTCCTGGTTCTGCTTTTATCTTTCTGCTCATTTTACTTTGTTTATTGTGTTTCAGTTATTCTGATCATTTCTGTGCTTCTATCAGCTGCTTTCTGCTAATTTAAACTTTACATGATTCTTTCAGCTGTTTTCTACAGTTTAAGCTGTTTTCAGCTATTTTCAGCTAAATTCAGCTCTTGTGATAATTAGTTTTTCAGACGATCAGTTCAGCAAACATGCTCTTTCTGCTTCTTTTTYAATCAGCCTTTTCAGCTACTTTTCATACTTTTTAGCTACTTTTCTGCTCTTTTCAGCTTTTTGGGCTGTCTGACCACAAACTGAAACATATTTGTACATCTTTTATTTTCTACAAAAATCTTGCAGCASGAAGCATTCATGCTGCATTTTCACATAAAATGTAAATTCTGTAGTTAAGATTAAAAAAGGTTTAAACCAGTCAACAAGTTGGCACTTTAACCAGTTTACTWAAAAAACTGGAGTTTTTATGGTTTCCTTTTAGTTGATTAGCTAAAATATTAGGCTCCTCTAGTTGAGAGCTCCTATAAGATTAGTTAACATGATATATTTTATATATTTACTAGTTAAATATCATGAAATGATGCTTCAGTAGTTAAATGCAAACTAGTGAGTTAGGTTCTTTGGTTGACCAGTTCTGCTCCAACTGGTTGGACTAAAAGTTAGAGTTTGTTCAGTTAGAGCAGCAGAATTACAAACTAGAGATGTTTTTATAAGGATATTAATATTAAATACACAAATGGCTTGCCATACTGTAGAAATCTTTGTGTGCAGGAATTTATGGTTGAAATATTTGATCCACCTCAGCTGAACTGTTGTTGCTGTTTGTCTCGGTCTTCTTGGAAAGACGTTGACAGGGAGGTTCTTGAATCTACACGTCCTTGRGAGTTTTCCATGGCAGAGTTCTTCTGGCACCAAGAGCTGCAGAGAGGAGGAAGAATTAGAACATGGACTTGAATAATAACCTCCTTGAAGAAGAAGAAGCGCTCCCTCTGTTGGCCAAAACTAGAACAACAGGAGGACTCACCCAGAAACAAACTGTTTTCWAGTTATTTTTAGAAGATTAACTCGTGTGTTTTCAAAAACTGAGATGGTTAGTGCAGAAAAGAAGAGCAAAATGAAGTGTTTGTTAAAAAATGTTCATAATAAATATATTTATAAATACTGACTATTTTCAAAAAGATATTTTTATGTAACCTGGTTCCAAATGATCCTCAGCAGGGGCTCCAGTAAGGGAGYACGATGGGAGGCAGTGGTTCCCATCACTGGCACACATCACACAAAGGTTTATTTTTAACATTTGACCAAAAACTCTCAAATATTTAATTATATGCTTAATGTATTATCATGTTTTGCCACTTCAACTTCTTTTGTATCCTTCATACTTTGTTCAGGCGGCAACAAAGGCTGTCTCATTTGTCTTTATGTGTCCCTGTAGTGGACATGCAACCTGTCCAGGGTGTCCCCCCACCCCTCGCACAGTGACCGTGAACGGAAGAAGCAGCTTTATATGATGGATATTCTGTTTATATCAGATTTTATAGAAGACAAAAATCCAATAATTAAAATAAAATACACAGTAAAGTACAGAACAGTAAAATGTTTTTCAGAAGAAAAACTATAAAAAATTGGATACATCCTTTTATGAATAAACTTAAACTAAACAAAAAAACTTAATTGAATCTGTTGGAAATAATTCTGAGGAAATTTGATTTTTTAAAAGCTGAACTGTTGATGAAAAACTTTTTAGAAGATGAACAATAAATTTGGCTGCTTGGAGGGAAAATGTTCCCTGGCCTTCAACTCTAGTTAAAAGAAAAAAAAACACAAATAAAAGGAAAAATTAGAACTTAATTCTGAGTTTTTACTAAATTGCTGCAACTGAAAATAAGTACGTCTTGGTTTTTATTTGTATCAGTTTTTGTTGTTTTACTGTCAATTTTATTATTGTTTTTATAAATTTTGCTAAATTATATATATGTATACTGTATATTTTTGTTTTATCCTCATCTACATGTGATGTGATTGTTGTGAAGCACTTTGGTCACATAATATAAATGTGCTATATAAATCAACTTTGACTTAACTTGACTAAAAAGTGAATTTACTTACAGATTGTGTGAAACATTAGAATATCAAAGTGTTTTAGCTGATGTTAGAGCTCTTTAAATTATAATCCCAGGGGGATTATTGATCTGATTAAGCAGCTATTAGCTCACGTGTTAGTCTTGCTGCGAGTCGCTCTCCACCAATCAGAGCACAGATCCTCAGAGGAGCGTGAAGATCCACTTAGATGACATCACTAAGCCTCTTACCTCTGCAGGTGAATGAAGACTGCAGGGGGGGAGGGAGACTTGTTTACTCGGACTTCGGACCAAATGTTAGTTCAGGTTTTTGTTGGCGGGAGATTAAATTAACGTGTGGATTAATCTGTGATTTAATACTCCTGAAGTCTGGATCCTCTGAGCCCACATGGAGTGCAGCGGCAAGGTAACTGCTGCCTGATCAATGCCTGATCCAAACAAAATTAGAACCCCCCCCACCCCACCTTAATGAGACCTAATGACCCCACTCCTCTTCCGTTTTGACCCAATATTTCAGCACATCAGGCAGCAGCATCGTTAACAGTCATTTTTTATCTATGGTTTTATATTTCAGATGTTATTTTTAAATAAAAAGCTAAARAACTTTTGTTTTGCTTAATTAAAGCCTTGTTGTTTTTAAAGGAATGCATGTCACATGCTACCTTTCAGGTCTGAGTTTAAGGACATTTGAAACAGTTATACGGATTTTGTACAGTCTCATGAAATATTGTTGGAGATACGACTCTGAACTCTCCTACTGGAGGGAGCTGCTGTTGGTCATCTAGAGATTCCTTGGTGTCTTTCTAGTAATCCTTAGGTGGTCATCTAGGTATTCTTGGTATCATCCTATGTTCCCTTAATATCCATCTAATGATCTGTGGGTTTCCATTCAGCATTTCTTTTGTTTRTAACCAGTGATCCTTTTGTGTCTATCTAATGCTAACTTCCTGTTCAACCAATAATCCCTTGGTGTCCATCTAATGATCCCTTGGCATCCATCTAATGATCCCTTGGCGTACGTTTAATGATCCCTTGGCGTCCATCTAATGATTCCTTGATATCTATTGGTGTCCATACAGAGATCATTTAGTATCCATCTAGTGATGCCTTAGTATCTACCCAAAGATCCTTTTGTGTCCATCTTACGATCCCTTGGTATCCATCCAGAGATACTTTGGTGTACATCTAATGATCCCTTGGTATCCATCCAGTGATCCCTTGGTGTCCATCTAATGAATTCTTGGTATCTATTCAGAGATCCATTAGTATCCATCCAGTGATCCATTTGTGTCCATCTGATGATCCCTTGGTGTACATCTTATAATCCCATGGTATCTATCCAGAGATTCTTTGGTGTCCATCTAATTATCCCTTGGTATCTATCCAGAGATCCATTGGTATCCATCCAGTGATCCCTTGGTGTACATCTAATGATCTGTTGGTATCCGTCCAGAGATCCCTTGGTGTCCATCCAATGATTCCTTGGTATCTATCCAGAGATCTCTTGGTGTCCATATAATGACCCCTTGGTATCTATTCAGAGATCCATTGGTATCCATCCAGAGATCCATTGGTGTCCATCTAATGATTCCTTGGTGTACATCTTATGATCCCTTGGTYTCTGTCCAGAGATCCTTTGGTGTCTATCCAATGATCCCTTGGTATCTACCCAGAGATCCAATGGTATCCATCCAGTGATCTTTTGGTGGCACCCCCTGTGGGTTTCAGACCTGTCAGTCCACAATTGGCTTCATCCCTCCTGAACCAGACTCCCTGATACTTTATATCCAGAATCAAAGACTCCCTTTAACTTGAAGTCAACCATCACTACCTAATCCCTTGGTTGACCCCCATCTCCAGTCTTTGGGCTCTGCCATTGTTGCTGCATTAAAATAAAAAGAATAACCTTTTTTAAATTGTTCTAACACCAGGTGACGCCACAGCTGATGCTGGCTGTGGGGACGGCTGTGATTGGCTCTCTACAGTTTGGATACAACACTGGTGTTATCAACGCACCTCAGAATGTGAGTAACTGAGTACATATTGTTCAAGTCTTTTTTTTACGTACAGGAATGACAGTCAGAATGAGGGATCTTACCCACATGATGCAAGAAGAAAAGCCAGAAGTTCAATGAAGTTTAAACCTAAAGACAGAAGCAGACAGTCGATCAACTGGAACCTCAAATCTGTGATGAGCAGATCTGATCGGCCCGTTTTGTATTTCAGATCATTGAAAATTTCTACAATGAGACGTGGAGCAGCAGGTTCTCGGAGCCCATCACTCGGAGCGCTCTGACAGCTCTGTGGTCTCTCTCRGTGGCCATCTTCTCTGTGGGAGGAATGATTGGCTCCTTCTCTGTCGGCCTTTTTGTCACCCGCTTCGGAAGGTAAGACTGCTCACAGAAATCCTGTTTTACCTGAGAAACCGTTTGTTTCCATCAGAACCTGTATCATCCCTGCAGGAGGAACTCCATGCTCGGGGCCAATGTGTTGGTGCTCTTCGCTGCTGCCTTCATGGGTTTCTCAGAACTGGCAGCTTCCTTCGAGATGCTCATTGTTGGACGTTTCATTGTTGGCATCTACTCCGGCCTCTCCACTGGCTTTGTGCCAATGTACGTAGAGGAGATCTCACCGACATCTCTCCGCGGAGCTCTGGGGACTCTGCATCAGCTGGGMGTGGTGATCGGGATTCTCATGGCTCAGGTACGATCCTAAAACCACAAATTTACTTACTTGAGTATGTCATGTAGATATTTTCATATCACATGTCTGTGTTTGTGGTGCAGATCTTTGGGATTGAGTCGATCCTGGGGAACAGGTCCCTGTGGCCCCTCCTGTTGGCGTTCACCCTGCTGCCAGCCCTGCTGCAGTGCGCCCTGCTGCCCTTCTGTCCCGAGAGCCCCAGGTACCTCCTCATCGACCGCAACGAGGAGAGCAAAGCCTGCAGCGGTGAGATTCACGTCATTTCAGACAGAGGCGGAGCTTTAGCAAGTTTCACCTGCAGTTATACCTGTAAAACATTACAGTAAATGAAAAACGTTCTAAAGTAAAATACATTTTCTACAGGAAGCTAAAGTAACAAAAAGCTAACTACAAGCTGTTATTAGCATAAGAAGACAAAAACAGGACCTATAACTGAAGCAGATTTTAAAGGAATAAAATGTATTTCAATGCATTTCTGAGAAACGTTTGTCAATAAAGAAAACATTTTGAAAATAACAAAAAACAAAATTCACATCAGCAATCTGCTGAATGAGCTAAATGCTTTGATATATTAATAGCTAAAATAACACAAAGTCTGCATAGCTTAAGTAGATTGCAAAAAAACATAAAATAAGGAAATATTGTTAATGCTGAGTCAGCATTCATACAATACATTTTCTATCCTCAGCAGGAGGGTTAGAAAGATTAATAAACATAAGACATTATTACACAAATGAAAAAAAAAAAAAAACAGGAGAACTTTTATATTCCAGCTTTAGGAAAACATAAAACCTTTCCTGACATTGTGCGTTTTTGTGTGTTTTCAGTCCTAATAAAGCTGCGGGGGACTGACGAGGTGAGCGAGGACATACAGGAGATGAGGGAGGAAAGCCAGAAGATGATGAGGGAGAAGAAGGTGACCATCCCTGAGCTGTTCCGCTCTCCTGCCTACCGCCAGCCCATCCTCGTCGCCATCATGCTGCAGCTGTCCCAGCAGCTGTCTGGGATCAACGCTGTGAGTCAAACAGCCGTTAAACAAACAGCTGAAGGTCCCAAAGTGCTCCAAGGCCAGAGGGGATAGATAATGGTAGATAAAAGGGTTTTGAGTTCGCCCTGAGTGGTGGTAACCAATTTTTCACACAATAAACAATAGAGACATACCAAAGATCCTGGACGAGCCCCCAAACCTGTTACACATTTAGCTAAAAAAAAGGTAATGTGGAGGGMGTTCCTTAATGCTGCACCTTTAAGACTCTTAAAAATGCTTTATATCGACGGAAGTCAAACAGGCATTACCGCTGAACGGAATCCAAACAACAAGGCTTCATGTTGAAAACACAAACTGGAGAGTTCATAAAGAATCTTTGGGTTTGTAAAGAAATCTAAACTGTCAGTGTCCTCCTCTGCAGGTGTTTTACTACTCGACTGGGATCTTTGAGCGAGCCGGGGTGTCCCAGCCTGTTTACGCCACCGTCGGTGCCGGAGTGGTCAACACCATCTTCACTGTGGTCTCTGTAAGTTTCTAAAGTACCAATAGAGCCAAAAACCACCAGGATGTTGAAACAATAAACCTTCTTGTCTCCTGTGCAGCTGTTTATCGTGGAGCATGTGGGCAGGAGACCCCTTCACCTCGTTGGTTTGATGGGGATGGCGGTTTCAGCTGTGTTTCTGACCGTTGCCATGGCATTGTTGGTGAGTGTTTCTGACCATCTTTGCAGAACACGTTTGAAACGTTGACCTGAAAGTCCCCCCGTGGTGTGTGTCCTCTGCTCAGGACCAGCTCAGTTGGATGTCCTACATCAGCATTGCGGCCATCTTCAGCTTTGTGGCCTTTTTTGAAATTGGCCCCGGCCCCATCCCATGGTTTATCGTTGCCGAGCTCTTCAGCCAGGGCCCCCGGCCCGCTGCCATCGCGGTTGCTGGTTTCTGCAACTGGTCGGCCAACTTCTTAGTGGGAATGTGCTTCCAGTATGTTGAGGTAGTGTTGGTTTTAAACTTCCAAACTTGGTATTCTAAGAGTCACTTCCTGTTTCACAGCTTAGATCAGTATCGAAATTATGGAGCTAAATTGCGGTCATAAGTTTTGTTCAAAA